TCCTGATAAATTAAATTATGACTAATAAGACCACAATTAAAAAGTAGTTTTACAGATTTTTTGTACTAAAACTAATCTTGACACTTAAAAGCACATAAAAATATATTATACTTAATAAACAATAAAAAACACGAGTATACTGCCGAATCAATACGGAAATAAAAAAGAAAATATTGGTGGAAGTTTATGAAACCACCATGCAAGTGTGAAACTTTAGTTCCGCGGCTGGGAATCGAACCTAGGCTGGCAGGTGAACTGTCTTACACTGAACCACCGATTCTTGCTGATAGAGGTCTATAAAGTATCTGATAATAAAATTGTGTGTTAGTTTATCATAATTATAATATATCCCATTAATGTGGCAGTGATTATCTTATTTAATATTATTTGAATTCCGTTAAATGTAATAATAAATTGTCATTTAATTTCGTGACCTCATCTTTCTGGGTTCAAAACAGAAAATCAGTAATTTACTCGCTGCTACACACGAGATTATTACAATAATTATAATGTTTGTTGATATGATTTTAAAGTGTAGGACAATAATGATTTTAAAATTTGTGTTTTTTGTGAGTTTGTATGTATGCATGTTGATGCTAATAAAGTTTTTATCTACTAGTCTGTTTTTTTTAATAACAATTAAAAAAGTAAGGAGACATTCTTAAGACAAACGAAAAAAATGTGGCGATGTAATAAAAGTTTTACTTGAAAAAAAGTTCAAGAAAGTTATTGCAGTGGAGCTTAAAGTATGCTCTAAGGCTAACTACTCTAAAGTCTAAGCAGTCGAGGGACAACTTAGATTGAAGTGTTCTGCAGAACGGTCACCCGTAATTTTTAGTGATTGTTTTAACTTAGGTTGTAAAGTAAGTACATAGAATGTATGTAAAATAAACACCGGACAGGAGGGTTTCGTAAAAATTTGTAGGTACGCAACATAAACAGCTGTATCTTTTTTTAGTTTAACTTAGAAGTTTGTTTTGTTTTCACAGTTTTTAAGTGACCGTAGACCTGAGTATATGGTTTAAATTTCAACTTGATACCTCAACGCATTCCCAAGATAAAGGGTTGAGCTTGACAGACAGACGGACGACAAAGTGATCCCATAATGGTTGCGTTTTTTCCTTTCGAGGCACACTAAAAATAGACGATCTTGTTCATATACCTAATGAACTTTCAAATTGTAGCCTGTCAAGTCTATACATGGGATAATCACACTAATATTATAAAGGCGAAAGTTTGTGAGTGTGTATGTTTGTTACTTCTTCACACCTATACTGGTGGCTGGTGTGATTTTAATAAAATTTGGTATGGAGTTAGCTGATACTCTGGAATAACACATAGGCTACGTTGTACTGCGGACAAGTATCCCTAATAAACCGCGGGTAACACCGCGGGGCACAGCTAGTCGCCGATAAAATACAAACTAAGTTTTTATAAGAATTTATATTACCAGTTTAATTTATACTGTGGCGCCGCGCCGTGTCGCTTTTATTCAGCTTTTTACTATCCGCTAAGGACATTAATCGGAACATTAGGCCTAGCCTATAATGCGGACATGAATATTTGTGTAGAATTGCTGAATTTTATTGACATACCTAACTAGTTAAAAATAGTTATATTAAATTATACCAATGGGCGGATCTCCTTCGTTTTTCGAGTCAGAAACTCTAAATCTTTTTTTTTTTGCATTTTCGCTGATTACTCAAAGACGGCTGGACCGATCAAGATACTCTAAAATAAAAAATAAATTGTTTAGCTTGGAAGATTATACTTCCCATTACCCATGGTCTTCACCAGGTCAGGATCTGATCTGATGGGATCTTAGAGATGTTGAGGGAACTCTTGAAATTTTTATTGAGTAAAATTTTGCGCTTAGACCTCTAGAAGATATTGAACAGGTAATGTTAAAATAATGTGCCTATTTAACTTCACCTTCCTGCAATCTGGGGCACAGGATCTGGAGTCCTTTAAGAGAGGCGTGAAGAAGCATTTTTGCAGGCCGGCAAGGATGGTTGGTGTGGCAGTTTGTAACTGCTGTACCAGCTGTCTTCCCGTTTGGACTCTATTACCATTTTAACGTCAGGTTGGGCAGAGTCATTTGCCTGCTTGGCTATAAAAAAAACCCTTGCGCTATTCACAATGAGTACCCAAACACTAAATGTTCATAACAAGTGATAAATGGAGTACAAATTGTTTGAACAAGTTTTTAATACGAAAATGTGTTTACAATACTGTTCATTCATTGTTGTACTTGTTACAAGGGCAGAATATTTAGAGGTAACTTACTCAAACGTTGATTTCAGTGATGAATCATTGTTTGCGATGATTCTAGCCGCTTTCCCACCGACTAACAATACGAGATTATCATCATCATCAGCTTATTAATGTCCCCACTGCTGGGGCACACGCCTTCCCTGAATAGAATAAGGAGACTGGACCGTGACCCACCACGCGGGCCCAGTGTGGATAGGTGGGGGCTAACGACTGCAGAGGCTAAAATAGGTGGGGGCTAACGACTGAGGAGATCGATGGGGCAAGTGGTTAGCGTGTTCGGCTGCGATCGTTGAAGTTAAGCAACTTTCGCAGTGATCGGTCATTGGATGGGTGACCAAAAATTTACTATCTCGAGCTCCTCCGTGCTTCGGAAGGCACGTTAAGCCGTTGGTCCCTGCTGCATCTGCAGTCGTTAGCATCCACCAATCCGCACTGGGCCCGCGTGGTGGGTCATGGCCCAATCTCCCTATTCCATCCATAGAGAAGGCTTGTGCCCCAGTAGGGACATTAATAGGCTGATGATGATGAACGACTTGCAGATGCAGTTGGGACCAACGGCTTAACCTGCCGTCCGAAGCACGGAGTAGCTCGATGTAATAAGTTTTTGGTCACCCATCCAATAACCGACCATTGCGATAGTTGCTTAACATTCACCATCGCAAACCGAATGCGCTATCACGTGCGCCATCGAACTCCTCATACAAAATGATAATGGAAGGTAATGTCGAGGCTTAAAGCACCATTAAGAAATGAAAGTTTCATACATTAAATACGTAATGCTATTTAAGTATATGTCATTAAAAGTTAAGGTTAAATTAAAATTACTTAAGGGCTATACAGCACTTATTGAGGGCAACTCGACATTTTTTCCTAAAATTTTTAGTGTTTTTAAGTGGGTGTAAATTGAAAAATCCTATGGAAAGGATGAAACGGAAATGCGTCACGAGCGTTACACGACTATATCCGCGCAGCTCTTCCCGACAAGCATGAAAGTTGGAAGGGAACTCGGCGAAGGCTGTAACTACGAACGTCACACGCTACAATATACATACATAACATGACGACCTCCGTGTGCCTCCGTGGCCGAGCGGTTTATACGCCGGGTTTCATGGTGTCGCTTACTCCAGAGGTTCCGGGTTCGAATCCCGGTGGGGGCAGATGTTTGAGTGATGAATACGAGCATTTGTATGTCATGGATGTTTTACATGTATTTCTTTATAAATATACTTATTTAAGTATCAGTATATGTATTCTATCCGTTACCCTAGTATCCCATAAGACAAGCCTACAGTGCTTACTTTGGGGCTAGGCTAATTGGTGTGAGTGTTGGAAATATTTATTCATTTTATACATATATATGAGTGATGCGTGCGCTGCTCCTCCATTCCCCTATGCCTTATGCATTGCCTAATGTTAGGTTATTTAAGAAAATAGGTTTCACTTCAGATGTGTGGTCCGTGCACACTCTTTTGAAGTGAAAACTTCTTTAGCGGCGTTGTACACTTTTTTTTATATGGGTAAAAAATGATAAACTCGCGTCAGGTTAAACACGTGGGCTGATCGCATCATGACACAATAAAATTGGAAAGGTTGTTAACTTTGTGGCGGCGACATCTATATGCCCCACAGATATACAACGGATGTAAGAAATCATTACTCACCATCCTCAAGAGATGGCGTTACCTGCACTGCGATCAATAGTAGTATGGAAGCCTACACCGCGCAAATGAAATTCGGAGGGTAACTCTTCATATACGATGATTTCTATATATTGGACAAAACATAGTAATGTTTTATTTTACCATATTATAATATAAGTCTCTATCTAGGACGTCCACGTGGCAGCTTTATTGCGAAGAAAATGCATTTTTTTTACAATAGATGTCGCGAAGCGCGCTTAAACGTGATTCATGTAAGTTGATTTTTCTGAGAGATAAACTTTTTTGATGTAATATAAATTGTCATGTTTGTGTATGACAGAGCAATAAATAAATATTGTATTCTACCACATACATGATAGTACTTTTATACTGATAATTAAAGCAATTCGTGCAAAATTATTCCGTAACCATTCCAAAATATCAAAAATGCACAACGTTAATATTCAAGTTTTCACTTCTGCCGGCACTCCCGGAGTGCAACCCGTCGTTTTTTTTTATCCTGAATGGGTACGTTGGCTCCGAAACGCAATAGTAGGTAGCAAAACACTGTTTTATAGGCATAGTACATAATATATTGTGACACAAATTTGTCGACGTCACAATCAAGTCTACAATTTTCTGTGTGGCAAAGTAGCGAAAGAAAAATTTTACTAGAAAATGTCCCCCTCGGTCTAGGTTTCAGTCAGAATTCGAATCTGTACCCTCCGCAATTCTTGCGGGTGCGCTAACCAATTATTTTACTGACAGAGACTTTAATGGCTGTGTCGAATATCTTCTAGTAGGTACCTATTTCTTAAGGCTGCAAGCCAGTGAAATTTCTTTGCGGAAGGTGCAGGTTCGAATCCTGATTGAAACCGAGTGGCTTTTTTCTAATAAAAATTTTGTTTACATTTATAAATGTAGCAGTTAAATACTTAAAAATATAATATCATTAAAATATATTTGTTTCTTAGGTTTTCACGCACATCACTCATTAAATAAAACTAGTTTTTACGGGTTAATGCACGAAACTTTATTTTAAAACTTTAAAACGTCAATAAATAAATAAAGTTTCGTGCATTAACCCATAAAAACTAGTTTTATTTAATCATTAAAATAACTATTTTCCTCGTTAGCGCCATCAGTTTAATATTTAATAGCATAATATCTTTAACAAACTACAAAAACAGATGCGATTTTTTTGTTGTTGTTGTTTTTCATTTTCAGTTTTTTTGTTATTAAAATCTCTTTGTATGTTTACAAAACAAATGACTAACTTGAATTGAAACCAATGACTAATTTGAATTGATGAATTGGTGTCTAATACCAAAAATATGATGAGTGGGTTTAATCCGTTCCGTTCAAAGACTATTCTTACATAATTTACAAAACGATGATCTAAAGACAATTCCGTATGCATCAATTAACTATGTTGCATTAAACCAGCTTTAATTTTAGAACGATGTCTAATGCAATCAACGTTTTGGTAAAGTTGTTTAGATTTTAGTAGCACTGTACCATGCATATTTACTCTTCAGTCTTTCCGTGTTGTTGGCTACGTTTGGTCATGTGCTTCGTGCGATTTTATTTTTTAAAATACAATACGCATAGTGTTTCTGCATCCACAGTATGAAGGTTAGATTTTATCACAATTTCATAATTGGCTGTTAGCGTGTAAAAATAGTGTTTCGCAAGAAGGTTTTAAGTTATGAAGTTTTATTCTGAGAATATTGCCATTGTCCTTTTCTTGATTGTTAGAAAGGCGCTGAATCAGAGCAGTAATATAAATTATATTTTTTTTATTCCCACAGATTTGCGCAATAGGGATGATGACTAATTTTTTTTTTCTTCGTTTATCAGGTAGATTATCAAAAAGTATGATAAACATTGCAGAGATATATTGGTTTGAAAAGTCGCATGATGTCACGTTTTGGTACAATTTTCACTTAAAAGTGACGTCACGAGCCTACCCTACTCCCAAACTTTGACGCGCTATAACTTTGTCATTTTTTGGTTGATTGCCCAAAGAAAAAATACGTGTCCATTATTTTTTGATCATCTAACTGACAGACTAAAAAGAATTTCGTTTACTGTACCCCGTCATCACCCCTATTCTTTACATACATATAAAATAGTAAAATTCGCATTTTCAGATGCAAGTTTTTAAAGTTGGTAAGGTTTTTCGGTGTTTTTGCATGGTAATATATCTTACATGAATATTATATATATATATATATATATACGTTTTTTTTTAAAAAGTAAAAAATAATACTACTAACTAATACTGCTAAAGACTTTTAAAAAGTTCTACTTTTTGAACATAATCTACGTAAAAAAACACGCGGACTTTTTTTAGTTATATTTTCTTTAGATTTAAGCATCAAGCAGTTACACGCTTAAAAAAATAAAAATTATAACTATAATCTATGTATGAAAAATGTGATATTATTTTTTTATTGCTAAGGTTAATTAGCAATGTTATTGTAAAATGTTCTTTTAATGTTTCGCGGTTATGCGATAGCCGTTGATAACCGGAGTAACCTTGTTCAGTGTTTACCAAACTACATGAGTGTATTTTACTATAAAGTCTTGACCATTTACAGTTATAGAAAATAAAATTTTGCCTTGTGACGGCTGATCATAAAATTATCTCTCACTCAGAGATCGTAGAGATTATGCCTACAGACTCACTCCTTCGTGCTTCGGAAGGCACGTTAAGCCGTTGGTCCCGGCTGCATTTGCAGTCGTTAGCACCCATAAATCCGTAATGGGCCCGCATGATAGCCCAATCACCCCTTTCCATCCATGGGTAAGGCGTGTGGGTGATGACAATGAATAAGATTTTTATGGCAAACTCACAAAATGCCATACAGTCATTAAGTGTACTGTACCCTTAGTACGAATTTTACAATTACGAAAACTATGATAGTTTTCGTGAGCTCGCACTCGTACTAAGGGTACTGATTTTATTGTTTTCGTTTCAATACAAATAAACAGTGTTTAAATTCTATCATTAAATCATTTGCGTCTTCCTAAATTTTAAGTATATGTATTTGGTAACTTTTCACCAAAATGGACATAGAAACATAATTTACAATTACGAAAACTATGATAGTTTTCATGAACTCAAAGTCGTAATAAGTATACTGTTAGTTACCTTTTTATTGTGTCTGGTAAATGCCTTACACATCCTTCAACCACTGGGGGAGCGAGAAGAAGGTATGTGGAACTCCTCCCTGTCCCCTTCAGCCATCCCTGGAGCTCGCTGAAGTGAACAAGGCCCTACCTACGACCTGAACAGGGCCACTAAAAATCAGACAATACTCCTGCACCGTCACCCGACACGTACTATGAGGACCGCGGTCCCTAGTGCGTGCCGAGAGGGCAGGTGTGGTCGCGGCACCCGTTTCCGAAAGCCGAGCACCTGCCAGGTGACTATTAGTTACACCTGGACATAAATAATATATTTGTTAAAATAAATCATCATCATCAGCCTATTAATGTCCCCACTGTTGGACAAACCAAACCGTAATTACGACACTCGCACATAAACAATGACACAATACACGCCCAAATCCTGTACACATATTTTTAACGTTTGTATGCCCTCCATCATCATCATCATTATCAGCTTAATTAATGTCCCCACTGCCAGGGCGCAGGCCTTCCCTATGGATGGAATAGGGAGATTGGGCCACGACCCACCACGCGGGCCCAGTGCGGATTGGCGGATGCTAACGACTGCAGATGCAGCCGGGACCAACGGCTTAGCGTGCCTTCCGAAGCACGGAGGAACTCGAGATAGAATATTTTTGGTCACCCATCCAATGACCGACCACTGCGAAAGTTGCTTAACTTCAATGATAGTAGCCGAACGCGCTAGCCACCTGCGCCATCGAGCTCCACGTTAAAATAAATACTGCGTTTAATTGCCACCAATTTACGTAACTTCCTTGTGTCATGACAGTTGACATTAACGCTAAGAAACTGATGTGTGTGTTCAGCCAACTACCTAGTTCTTATACGGTCAATTAACGAAACTATAGGGTTTCTGCTAATTACTAATAAGTGTTAAGGCGGGCAATGTATTTTCCATACAAACGTTCTCGACTTGATTTTTATCACTAAAGAATTTATTTTCATACATAAAATATAATTTTACTCATTCTGTGTTCCTATGTCTTACTTTTTTTAACTGACTTCAAAAAGGAGGAGGTTCTGTGTTCGACTGTATATATATATATATTATGTATGTTCACCGATTTCTCCGTCAATTGTGGACCGATTTCCAAAATTCTTTTTTTATTCGAAAGAGTGCACTTCCGAGGTGGTCCTATTGGAACCAAGTCAGGATCTGATGGTGGAATCCGGGGAAATCGAGGGAAACCTACAAATTTTAAAAGGCACACACGATGTTTTTTATGCATGTTCACCGATTTCTCCGTCAATTGTGTGATTGTTTACTTGGACGATGTAATTTTCACTAAAAAAGATGAAATAAAAAAAAAATAAACAAAAAATAAAACCGACTTCAAAATGGAAAATGGAACTAAAAGTAAGTAAAAAATAATATGTGGGTCATATTTGGAAGTCGTTCGGGGTCAAGATTGCAAGACGTATTATTACCAACGCTCGCGTATTTATATATATATCAGTATATGTATTCTATCCGTTACCCTAGTATCCCATAACACAAGCCGACCTACAGTGCTTACTTACTTACTTACCTATTCGGATCTACAACACAGTGATTAGGCCGATCTTGATGTACGGTTGTGAGGCTTGGACGCTAACCCTTAGAGAGGAGAATAAGTTACTGGTCGCCGAAAGAAGAATTCTGCGGAAGATCCTGGGGCCGACTCAAAGTGAGGATGGTAGCTGGAGAGTGCGGACGAACATCGAATTGGAAAATCTAGTGTCCGAGCCCAACATCATAGGAGAAATTAAAGCAGCTAGACTCCGCTGGCTCGGGCATGTAGAGAGAATGGGAGAGGATCGAGCCGTGAAAAGGGCGTATTTGGGGCAACCGATAGGACGACAGCCCGTTGGACGTCCCAGATACCGCTGGAGCGAGGGTGCAGAGGGACTTGCAGTCTTTGGGCGCCGACGGCTGGCGAGACGTAGCCCGGAATCGCAGAGCATGGCGTCATCTTGTGTCGGAGGCCAAGATCCACTTCGGATCGTTGCGCCACAGAATATATATATATATATATATATATATATGTATCAGTATATGTATTCTATCCGTTACCCTAGTATCCCATAACACAAGCCGACCTACAGTGCTTACTTTGGGGCTAGGTGAATTGGTGTAAGAGCTGGAAAATAAACAATTTCACGTTTATGCATTAGCAGGATTATATCACGTAGTACTTCCTACCACATACAAATGTCGTCTTCTTTACCTGGATGAGATATGGGATATTTTTTCCGAAAAATTATTTGCTTCTTGAGGGATCTTCTAAAACCTAAATTTAATGCGGACTAAACCTAATATTACAGTGACAAAACGTCATTTTCTAGTTTTGTTCGAACTATTTTTTAATCACAGAAATAATTGCTTTTTATTATGGTAACTCTACAGATAGTATATATATACTTCGATTTCGAGTCAAACTCTTACTTCACCATGATAGGTACCCTTAGCATGAACCAATATCGAATTCGAATAGTTTGCGAGTCCGAAATGTCATTGTCAAATTTTGTATGGAAACTTGAACAGCAGCGCAACAAAGTACGTAACGAGAACTAAACATCAGTACACATTTGACAATGACATTTCGGACTCGCAAACGATTCGAATTCGATATTGGTTCGTGCCAAGGGTTACAGTACACTTCTGACAATAACATTTTATTATTTAGTAAACATTTTATTTATTCTTTAGTAAAAGTCGTACTAAGGGTACTGTACCCTTAGTACGAGTTTTACAATTACGAAAACTAACATAGTTTTCGTGAGCTCAAACTCGTACTAAGGGTACAGTATGGCGATTCTGGAAAATAAAATCTCACTTCCGATTTCGGCACCTCCCATTTTAGACATTAGTTTGATATGCATTACGCCATTACACGGCCAAATGTCGCTATGTCTGTAGGAGCCTAGGAGCAGCCAGTATTAAGGTGCGATCCCACGATGTGTGTTGTCGCGGGCGAGGACCCGCCACGCAGGGTTGCCAAACGAATGAGTACACTAACGTTTAAGTTTTTAAGCAGTCTCTATAAGGATTGCCACCCGTACTTTATTAATATAAAGTATTGTACGTTATTTCGGGTAATTGTCCTCTATACTTTATGCCAACAATAAAGTACGCGAAAATACTTTATTTAATGTGATTTGATTACTCGCGGATTAATTTTACATAAAATATCATATAAACGGACAGAAAGTATAAATATGTTTCCCTTAGATAATTCCTGCAACATTTTCGTGGCTATACAGCCATAAGGCATACGCCTTTGTATCATGACCATTCCCATTGCGGAAACAAACTACAGTAGACGCAAATTATTTATTAAAAGTTGCTAGTAGCAACGTAAAATATATTTTTAAGCTTAGTTATAAAGTGGAATAAAAAGTACTTTATTTTGGAAACAATGTACTTTTTTTTCTAGCTTTAATATCCAATGTACTTT